CAACCCCCAAAGAAATAAACAAAGAATTAAAAAAAACCAGGAAAAGACACTGGTCATACAATATTAAAAAATATCTGCTAATTTTCCTTTTGAAAGCGTATATCCCCCAACAAAATGTGTATCTACAATTTGATAGTCTTAGGGTGTATTATCCAGTACTCTGAAAAATCATTGCCAGAGCAGTTCCTTTCAGTCTTACCACTACTACTATTAGAACTGATTAAAGAGTCAGCACCAGTACTAGTAGACTGCATAAGGCTCAGATGTCAACCTTCTTCGAATCGGGTAAATCTATATTTAAAGTTACAGAGAATGACTGAAACTAGAATAATTTAACCAACAGAATCTTACTTTTACGGTGAGACTTTCTAGAGACCAGGTAGACAGAAAGGAAAAGGTCATTTTTATTCTATTCAGAACTGAGACATGATGAGCAGAATTGTTTTTGATTTTTTTTAAAAAAAGATTAAATAAAAGCAGACTTTCAAAACATCCTCTGGAAGGTAGCTGTATTCGCCCTTGCGAAAGCAAATCTAGTATGTGTTAGAGCAAATGGACACTAAGCAGAAGTCTAAAAAGCTTTGGTTCCAGCTCTGCAGCTCTGCTCTAGGGCCATGTGGAAGGTGTTCTCCTATCGCATCTTTCCAACTCAGAGCTCCCACAGAGGCTGAACAAGACTGATGCGCGTATCCAGTGGGTCACACACCTCTTTCCTCCATTGCTAGCAGAAAGCAAGAGATTTTGGAAAACTTATAGGAACTTTCAAGATGCAATAGTAGCTCCAGCTAAAAGAAGGGAAAAGACATTCAGCACAGACTCAGACAACTCAGTTTAATGCTTAAAATACCTTGGAGGTAATTTTACATCAGGCACACTCAGGGTTATTTAACAAAAAAAGACTTGTGAATGTTATTCTTCCTTTCATACCTAGGGAACCTGACTGAAACAGATTAAATAACTTGCACAAGGACACTCAAAGCCTCTGTAATGTCTGATCTGGGTTCTACCTTCTGACTACTACTGCTGAGCCTTAACAACTCCCTCTTCCCTCTGCAAAGCTGCAGGCTTCAGCAAACAAAGCATTCCTTATAGCTAATTGGTATTACATGGAAACTCAAATGCTCTTATTTACAAAACTACAGATTTATGTCAAGCAAAGCCAATTATGCTTAATGTTTAAACTATTGCAGGTGCTCAATGACATTGTTGCTAGGCAGTAGAAGTGAAATTGCTCTTTTAATGCATCTTGTTCCAACTGGGAGCATGTGTTTTATCATCAGTGCAAACTTAACAGATGGAGATCTTAATCCTCTCCATCGAGCTTTCTTCACCCTCCCTCACTCAAAATGGTGTCCCGTGCATTAGACTTGACTGAGGTGCTCAATGAACTGTCTGGGACAGAACTTGTATTTTTTGTACATGCATACATCAATACAGTATAACACACACATTTAACCCTTAAACACCCTCCTCCCCTCCAAATCATATCAGCAGTAATCAGCAATACATATGGCATAATACATAAGGTTAGTAATGACCTCTGCTGAGCCCAGCACCTACTCCAATAGTTATAACCAGAGCTGGTAGACAGCACAAAAGCAGCTTCTTTCAAAATCAAGGCTGAATCTGCAGAGTCCTTTATACTAATTTCACTGTGTGGTGGGACAAGGCTTTGGCAGTACTCAGACTATGGAACTGAACCGCGATGTTTCGCGTCGCTCTTAACAGGCGGCTTTTTCCACAATAAATTCCAAAATTATAAATCCTTTATGATGAAGATTAACGCATGCATATCTTAGATTTACTTTGTGCAAAGCAACATCAACAGGTGACCTCAAACACAGGCAATAAGATCTGAATGTTTTGTTATCTCCTGTGTAAACTATTATATATCCACAAAATGCTGAACAAAAGAAGGCTATTCTAATGTTTTGGGGCTGCTTATTGCATTATTTTATATGTACACAGATCTTATTTTTTCTGTACCTTCATTTTTTCTAATGTATTAAACCAGATGTGGAAAGTATCTTAATGTTTCTACAATTCTTTCAAAATCAAACCCAAATCTATGGAGTTCTTTACACTAATTTCACCATGTGCTGGAACAAGATTTATAAAATTTAGGCAGTACTCTGAAAGTACAAAGGATTTGTGTATGGAGTCCCAGATGCTGCAGTTCAGGAAGCATCCCCATCTATTGGATATAACTGCTAAACTGCTCTGTCATAAAAGTGAGCATGATTGATAGAATTCTGCATATAGCTTCCTCTGCACTACCAGCTGGAATAAGTCAAAATCCAGCAATCAGGACCCTTTTTTTTTGCCATCCATCCAAGAGGCCAAATTCTAAACTAAATCTGGTAGAAAAACCCTTCCTCTACTCCACATGAAGAAAGCAGAGAGTTTTCAGTAGTCAACTATTCACCCCAAAGCCTATTATAACCCACGTCTTCCAGAGTACCTCTTTATGAAGGCTGCCCACCTGCTTCCCTCTCCATTGCTGAAAGCCTGTCTTGCATGATTGCATGACAGAGAGGTCCTGTCCAGGGAGTTAACTAATCCTCTTTTTCTTGCAGAATGATCTTCATCAGACAATTAAACTGCAACAGCTGCCTTCCATTCTCTGCTGTCATCTACTCTCACATTTTGGAAAATGAAAAAGAAAACCAAAACCAACAAGAAGTAGGGTCTTAGGATGTTTGAGGTCATTCAGCTTGAGCATGCAGCAGAGAAAACACTTGTCTTAAAAGGAAGTTAGGTTTCTTGTGCTCCTGTTCTTGATGTAAATGGTCTCAAGCTGCAATTCTTGCAGTTTTTTTTAAAAAAATAAATATATATAATTATCATTAGATGTTAAAAGTATCTCCAGCCCAATTGCACCACTGTTTTAAATCTTAGATTCTATCCTTTTATTACATAGTTCTTCTTTTGTGTATAACTCCCAAATGCACTGACAGCAACTACAGTACTTCTTGTCAGCAGACTCCAGCCAGCATCTTCGCAGCTTTTCTGCGCCAAGACAAAGGTCAAGTCAAGTATTTGGGAATTTCTCACATTTTCTTTCTGGAAAAGAACTAGGAGTTTCCATGGCTTAAAACTGGGTTTACTGTGATACAAATACCATTTAGAAAATAATACCTCACTAGTAAATAACTGTCAGGTGGGATGGACTGATTTACTAATGTATGTGGAAATCAGTCTGCCTCCCATTCTCCAGTGTGACCATGTCCCACACCAGTCAGAAAACACATCTTTGACATGGATGACCATTTTATATTAACTTGTCTGAAGATACACTTATTTCTTCCACCTCCACCAGTGTATCCTAGGATATTATCTTCTACCACAAAGGAGGATATTAAACAAGTTCCACAAAAATCTTGCTTCCAGATGGGTACGTCCCCTTTCAACATTATCTGTTGCCATCTGGGCTTTAATAGGTCCCTCAGCCACCTTGTAGCTCTTCTGTTGACCCTAATCTCTTCACAAGTTATTTCCCATGGGACATATGTCAAACGCTTTACTGAAATCAAGGCAGATAATTTCTACTATATTTTGTTTAGAAAATGAATTCTCTTTACGTGCAGACATTACGGTAGTCTGGCAAATCTACCTTTGATACATCTGTGTTGCATTTTATTCTATTTTCCTTTTATCTCACAAATTTAAATATTCTCTTTTAATTTAAAACCCCCCTAAACCTTAAATACTAGTGGGATCAAACTAACAGCTCCTGCCTGCCTGCCTTCCTATGTTTTAGATGTATTTACTATGTTTTGCTCCCCCTCCTGTAACACCCAATGCAAAGTTACAGCAACAAATATGGTTAACTGTGGAGAGATGATTTCCTCTACCAGCTCTTTCATAGCTTCAGCTCACAAACTATCCTCTGTGTCATTTCAGCACATTATATTCCTTTAACGTAGCTTCTTCCATAGAAGAGCCTTCCTCCTATCTAGCAAACATTCTGGCTTGACTACCACTTCTAATACGAACAACCTGATATCAAAGTGCTCCCGTAGTTTTTGGGACCCCACTTCTATCCTCACTCTTTTTAGTAACATGATTTAAAAAAAAAAAAAAAAGTAGTTCAGTGTTAGATTAGCATCAGTCACAATACCCAAATTAGCCAATTTGGGGAGTGTTTAACATTGTTTAGATCGTTAAAGTGGAATGTATTTTACTAATGTTTTCCCATTTCCAACTGCATCTAAACTTTCCCAGTCTTCTTTTTCTGATTCCCTTAATTCCCTTCAACTGGGCTACAATTAGTAATTTTGATGTTAATAAAGTCTCGTCTCTAGTCCTCCTACTAGCAATTTTCTGTATATCATCCCTGAGTGATGACAAATCGCACATTACTTCTGTCAGATAAAAGACTAGATGCCTCAGCATCAAAGTTCCATAACATACTTTATGGAGTTATTACTGCATATATTTTCTAATATATTTTTGGTAGGTCTCAAAGCAATCTGCAAAGAAGGTTAGTATAGCTGTGTCCATTTTACTAATGGGGAAATTAAAGTAAAGAACGAATTGCTGAAAGCTGGGTAACAGGAAGGGAGAAGAGCCAAGAATAGAACACACATCTCCCACCTTTACAGGTATCAACCAGCCACTATCAGACTCCAAAATTATTTGTAAATGATACTGTCACAAAATAATTTGCTAAACAAATGTATATTTGAAATTTAATTCTGAGCCATTACTGAGCACGAATATATGTGGATACCTATCTATTTCCCTGTAGAGATTAAAAGCCTCTCTCCATCAGCCATGGCAAGCAGTGAGCTCTGTCCTTGATGTGCATTACAACAGTGCAGCATCCTCCAAGACAAAATCCTCTGATGACTGTTATTTCATAAGCTTATAAATAATATTATTATTCCTAAGATAATTTGTAAATACATTGGCACTTCCACTTAAGTATTAGGTAATTTATCATTGGAAAGTTGGTTGGTAACACAATCAAAATTTAGTCAAATAAGGGTGAAATTTCATCAGGTTTTCTCCATAGGAGACCAAATGGGAGAACTTTCCAGGACACTATCATAATGCTTGATGGCTTTTTCATGCTTCAAAAGCTTTTCTTCAGGAAGACTTCCTCTGAATTCACTGGTGTGTTCCTCATTCAGATTGCTGTATCTGGAGGAGAGGACAGGGAAGAAAAACACTAAAATAATCATCCTTTCTGGGATTAGTTTCATCCATGGTTTATTAGGTGGTATTTTGTAAGTTACAGTGCTTTCTGAGTCTTGGACTTCTAAGCAGCCAAAAAAATCAGATAGTTGTATGCGCTGTCCTAGAACCTTTCAGAACTTCAGGACAAGAAGTGTCAAACGGGATGCAGGTGTTAATAACAGCTGTACTGTCATCTTAACAAATTGAAAAAAGATTTCACTGAGAAAGTTTATTATATTTTTTCTAATTCAGAGTTCTAAAGCCTGATTTCCCCCCACCTCTAACTCAGTGTTTATCTGCATTGTCCTCACACTTTTTACCCTCTCTGGGAAAATTCTTATTTAGCACAAGATTGAACAATCCCATTTATCCTCAAAACCCCCTCGTATTTCATGTAGGTTTTGGTTGTCTTATTGAAAAATGAAGTATCTAGATTTTGAAGTGAAATAACAATTGGAAATTAAATTTTACTACTACCTTTTTAAAGAAAGACTGGAGTTCAACAATTTCCTCATAAAACATGTTAATTGTGGCAAAATCATTTGTTGAGTTCAAAGCAATTTTATGGCCACTTCTGAAAACCAAAACCCTTTGGTTTTCAGCAGTAAATGTCACAAATGAAAATTTAATTTTATGGAAGAATAAAATTCCATTTTATAAAGGTATGATAAAGTACATGCAGGAAAAACATTTCCGATCATGACTCAATTCACATTTAAAAGATAATCAAGCACTAGCCACCAGAATAAACTGACACTTGCATTGCAGGTTACATTGAAACAACCGATACGGTGCTGTGGCAATCCCTGGTGCTGCCAAATTGGTGCTGCACGCCACAGAAAAAGCAGTATTTTTAAGAGTTATACAAGTACACTGCCCTTGGAAATTTTCTACTATTACTGTTATCAAATCACTACATCGTCAAGGTTTCGAAAAGATTTCCATAGAACGGCAGCCCAGGGTTTAAGAGGGAATGGCACTTGCATGTGACCCTTCCCACTCGTGGTGACAGAGGCTGCTTCCCTCCCTGTTCTTGAATATGAGTATTACTTGTAATGCTGACAACAGAAAGTTAACTGTGATTAAATGTTCTGGAATACAGGAGGCAGGCAAACTTTAAGACCACCCTGGATATAAAAGAGGATTGCAGTTGTGAGTACCTTTCATTGTACAGGCAAGATACAGGCGTTACACCTAAGCTCTATAGGTGACATAAAATTGCTTCCTCTGTGTGGGGGCTAGATGAGCAATTCTGTTGTCTCAAGCAGAAAGATGCTTTTATCTTACTGTCTGGTAGAGTATCAGAAAATATTTCACGACTATTCTGTTGAAACCACTGCACACAGCATTAACCAGTGTGCTGTTTTCTTGCAACTCCTTTGCCTGCTGTCCCGTACTAAAAATGTAAGCTCGTTGAGACACCACCAGTGTTTTCTATACATTGGCACAAAGCCAAGTACAGTGGAGGTCAGTTCTGTGACAGAGATATCTTGTTTGATCTAAACTTCATGCTAACATATTTACGTCCTTCTGTATTGACTAGGATGTTCTTTTTTATTCAAGGCATTTTTACTTTAATAGGATCCCTTAAATATTTAAGGTTAATTACACTAGACTTTTTTTCCCCAAATGTACCAATAATTTTTAAAGAAAAGTCTCTCTCCTCAAGGCAGATGAAAAACAGTAAAATCTGAACCCTGAACAGCAACATATGATCTATCACTACCAGTTCTTCATTACACACTAGTTTACAGTTTTTGCCAGATTTTCTACCTATATTTACAAATGAAACAATAAGCTTTCATTTTCTCACACATACCTGGGTGCAGTGGTCCAGAACCCCAGGGTGTTCACCATCATTAAGGAAGCCAAGAAGAAGAAGAATCTCTCCAATTTACCTTCATGCAGCAAGTGTGGAAACCAGTTGCCTGGCAAAGCAGACATTTGAAGCAGAATTAGCTTACATTGCAGGGTGAGATGTGGCTTATATGAAAGACACGAAGATAACTTTGTGTAAGACACAGTCACAGCAGGTGCTTTGAACCCCCCCCTGTAGCTATTTATACAGACATCATTCTCAGAGCATCTATGTTTTTTTGAATCTACAATATACTTTGTTCCTGTTTGCAGACAGGCAATAGAGATCTAGAGACACTAAAGAACTTTCCTAACAAATCCGAAACGTACTGGAAAAACCTAACTCAGCACAGCAACTGCTGTAATGACTGAGCCATCTTCCCTCTTAATTATCCTGTGCACATAGCAAAATGAATGTCAGATGTGATTTTTTTTTGGAAGAGCTGGAATTAATGTGGTCTGTAGAACTCCTTATTCATACCTCTCATGTTTTTACTAAGCTCTTCTTCAGAGATAAACAAAAAGAAAAAAAGGAAAGCACAAAAATCATTTGTTCAGTTCCCTGGACAGTGCTCCATTACTAAGAAGCTATCTGACACTTTACCTTTCTTTATAGCTGCCTTTAGCCATGAGTCTGTAATGTGTCCTTGTCTTGCACAGGGATATTATGTGCATGAATCAGACCTTTTTCTACTGAGGTTTTTGGCAATGTGTGAGACGTTTTAGCAGCTCAAACTCCATTCAGCAGAGGACAGTACCACCAAATACGCGCAGAGTCTTCTCTCTCTGTGTCCTTGTGTGTTTTAGTTTGCAATTGTATTACTTTTGCTGTTGTCTATTGCAACCAGCCTGCAAACAAGCTCAGGTGGTAGATAACTGGAAATCAAGACATTGTCTACATTTGTAGACAATCAGTACCTGAAGTAACATAATTGACTACAGCAAAAACACAAAACCAAGGTGAAAACAGTTACAGTAGATACAGAATATCAGAGAGAGTTCTACAGTTTTGTAATGACTTCTTAGGTTAGTTGGGAAAATGGGATATTTATTGCTTTGAAGAAGAGAGAGAGATTGTCTTTATTAGCAAGCAGTGAAATACAAAAGGAGCAAATACAGAGCATGCAAAAGCTGGTCCTGAGAACGTGATGTCCACAGCTCAGGGGTGTTCGTATCAGATCCAGTTCCGCTAATAGCTGGAACACATCAGGTACAAGTATGTTTTTTATTTCCACCCAAAAGGAATGCAGGGGGTTTTGGGCTGCAAGATCACTCTATCATGGAAATCGGAGATGATTAGGAGATTCAGATCAACAACACACTCCCAGTTTGAACTAAAACACCTACATCGATGTGCGCAAAGTCACCTTTCTTTGCTCCCTTGAAGTCTGGTATCAAAACCTACCCATCTAAACAGAGTGGAAACACCACTGGAAAAACCTAAAAGGGAGAGGAGAAAAAAAAGCTGCCTTTTCCATAGCTGTGCTCTACAAACTTGATAGCCTTAACCAATGTTTTGGCCAGTAATGCCATCTTTAGCAATCCAATGCAATTCTTAGGTTTTCAAAACCTTCTAATTAGAGAGACAGTGCAGTCCTACCCCCCAGGAGAACCAGCAGTGAAAGGATTAGTCCCCCCTTGCATCTACATTTTTCTTTTTCCTCCACATCTTAGAGTTGTAAACATATTTCTTTTCAAAGCAGTTGAGATTAACAGAGAAAAATTGCCACCAGCACAGCAGTTTGCTCTGTGCCACATTACCTTTCTGCCTGTCACAGAGCAGCACCTCACCTCACCTCTGCCAGCTCAGTTCCTTTTGTAGCGTTATCTCAGAGCGAGTTTTAAAATGTATCATTTAACATTGTCAGTTGACTGAGCTCCTAGGTGCTGTAACTTCATTTTAGTAGCTTATAAACTTTACTGTCATAATTCACAATCAGGTAGTTTTTCATTTCACATCCCCCAGTGGCCAATAGAAGTGATGGAGAGAGCCCATGTATCTGATGAAAGAGCAAGCACGCACAGGGCTTGGCGTTACAGCTTGTCAAGGCAGAGTTCACACTGTCTGCTAAGTTATTTACATCACCTAGGCTAACTAGATGAGCAGCAGGAACTTCCTAATGGAACAGCATTTACAATGGAACTTGAACAGAAAATATGTACTTAAAAAATAGCACAGAGTGATAAAATAAAACTCTCCCAAAACCAGAACTAAGCGAAGAGAGTAAAACAGACAGTTGAAACCATCTTTATGCTAGTAGAGGTGCTGTACTGAAGCACTGAAAGTGTGAATGGTTGTCTATTTGGTGGGAGAGCCGTCTAAGAAGCAGGAGATCTCTGTTCTACCCTCACTTTGCCACTAGTCTCCTCCATGGCAGAGGTCAAAGATCACTGACCTGTGTCCTCTCTGCTTCTTTTAATAATTGCCAGTGTTTAAACAGTGAGGCCAGGATAAGAACACAAAGCCTTTGGAAAAGCCTGTATTATAAATTGGCCACAGCATAGGTAGGACCAAAATTAGACTGGGCATGGTAAAACTCCAACTCCCATAGCGCTATCAATCTCTGTCTCTCTCTTTCTCCCCCTCTCTTGCTCTCTCTCATTTACCGTTATATCCAAAGAATCACACAGAATCACAGAATGTCAGGGGTTGGAAGGGACCTGGAAAGATCATCTAGTCCAGCCCCCCTGCCAGAGCAGGATCACCTACAGTAGGCCACACAGGAACACAGGTCCCTTTCTCCTACACTGCTCTCCAGCAGGTCAGTCCCCAACCTATACTAGCACATGGGGTTATTCTTTCCCAGGTGCAAAACTCTACACTTGCCCTTGTTGAACTTCATAAGATTTCTCCCCACCCAGCCCTCTAGCCTGTCTAGGTCTCTCTGAATGGCAGCACAGCCTTCTGGTGTGTCAACCATTCCTCCCAGTTTTGTGTCATCAACAAACTTTCTGACAGCGTTCTCTAATCCCTCGTCCAGGACATTGATGAATATATTGAACAGCACTGGTCCCAGCACTGACCCCTGAGGGACCCCACTAGACACAGGCCTCCAACTAGACTCTGCCCCATTGACTAAAACTGTCTGACTTCCCTTCAACCAATTAGTGACCCACCTCACTACTTGGTCATCCAGACCACGCTTCCTCAGTTTACCTATGAGGATGCTGTGGGAGACTATGTCAAATGCCTTGCTGATATCCTGATACACCACATCCACTGCACGGCCACCATCCATTCACCTGGTTATGTCTTCATAAAAGGCTATCAGGTTGGTCAAACATGACTTCCTCTTGGCAAAGCCATGTTGACTACTCCTAATGACCCTGTTATCCTTGACAGAGATAGTGCCACGTATAGGTTGTTCTATCACCTTTCCAGGGATGGAGGTGAAGCTGACCGGTCTGTGGTTACCCGGGTCCTCCTTCTTGCCCTCTTTGAAGACTAAAGTGACATTTGATCCTGTCCTCAGGCACCTCACCTGTTCCCCACAACTTACCAAAGGTGATGGAGAGTGGTCTAGCAATGACTTCCGACAGCTCCCTCAGCACCCACGGGTGCATCCCATCAGGGCCCATGGATTTATGGATATTCAGGTGTCTTAACTGATCCCTAACCCAGTCCTCCTCAACCAGGGGAAACTCCTCCTTTATCCTGACTTCCTCTGGGGCCTCAGGGGACTGAGGCTCCTGGGGAGTCTCCAGCAGTATAGACAAAGAAGGCATTTAGTAACTGCCTTCTCTGTATCTTCTGTCTCCAGGGCACTCACTTCAAAGCAAGAGGTAGGAGTGAGGCTTTCTTTTCCTTTTAGTGAGGGGTGACGAGGTTAGCCAGGGATGTCTTTCTCAACAGAGGAATAGGGATGAGATATCCAGACTGCCAATATGCATTTCCATCAGTGGACGCAGCAAAGGCTAATGGAACAATTTCTTATTTTCAGCCAAAAATATGTACTTCTCTTCCCCCCCCCATCTTTTTCCATTTTAAATTGACATTTTCCATTAAATCAACCTGCACTAAATTTGCTTGTACTTATAGTCACTGCACAGCAAATCCTCTGCTGGCAGGAAGGTTTGGGAGAACAACCGTCACCATTAAAACATCAACCGTGTGTTTCAGGCAGCAGAACTCCCTTTAGATGCTTTCAACCCTTACCCCACTAACACCTTCTGTAAGCTGTCTGAAGACTCCAGCATCCTCCACTGACTGGGTTTGGGGTTTATACTTTCAGGTTTTTACTCTCAGCCATGAACATCAGGAATATATTGGGCCAGTTTGTTTGGCTTTGCTGGAGCAAGATGTCCTGGGCACTACTGTGTTTGAAGAGTCTAGCAGTTTCTTGTCCTTGAATCAGCATGCAATATGCTAACTATTCACTGTGCCCCCAAAGAACCTTTGGGTTCTATGGAGATTGCCAACAGAAGTGCCAATTACAAGGTTGGTTTGTCACATAGATAATTGCTTACTGGGAATTAACTTCTTACAACAAGCTCCCGATTTCCATTTTTATTCCAGCAATGGAAATACTTTGTAGCATGAATCACCACAGAGAATGAGAAGTTTCCTTTAGTTGCATATATTTTAAAAAGCCTTTTCTTATCGGGTAGAGGTGAACAGTTTAAGCATTTCATGGCAAATTTAGAACAAATTAGAACATTAAGTCTAGGCAGAGTCAGTTCCTCAAGCCTGCTATACCACATGTTGAAATAAAGAGCCTGCTAAACTTCCACTGACATTTTGCAGTCCTATCAGTTTTGCATCAAAAATGCTCAGGTATTACAAGGACGAGGAATATTATGCGACACCAAGAGAAAACACCTGATCTTACTAACACAAGCAGAAAAGTAGGTGAAGCAGGGATTAGGACACGGACAAAACCACTTTCCTGGGCTGCTTCTGGTTGGTGACTGACAGAGACAAACTGCTGGCAACGCTAGCCATCAAAGAAGATGTGGCAAGGGCTGTAAGCCACTCTGACATATACTAGTGCACTCAATGTATTTGCTATTATGATGGCACCCTTGGAGCTCTCAAGGGATTCACAACAAACCCCAAAATTGCATACGAATTTGTCAGTTTGTTTACTGAACTACACCATCATATTTTAGCACTGGGAAAACAGAAGACAAAGCAAAATTGTCACATAGCAGAAGTTAGCCTACCCTGTATGATTACCACATTTTTACAGCTATCTTGCAACCTAGGCTATGATTACAGGAAAAAAATTAAAGTAATAGAAAAGGATTGCATTGCCTTCCATCCCTTCTTCAAGGTAGTGGGTATATATTTAATGTTTAATCATATCCAAATCAAAGTCTCAGTCTGCCTCTAATCCTTATTAGCTAAGTAGGCACCAGTGGACACCACCATCTGGACTGCAAGAAATGTCCTTTAGCTTTATCCTCTTTGATATTTAGAATCACACAAGACTCCAAATTGGAAAAAAAACACCAAAAAACAAACCACAAACCTACAAACTCCCTCCGGTTCTATAAATACAAGCAGAAAAAAAACTGTCTGGGGCAGTTTCCTTCCTCTGACCTTTTTTTTTTTTCCCCCTTCTTTCTTCTTTCTTACATATTTACATTAATATTTTTAGAGAAATATATTCTGAAATGATTGGCATAGTAGGACAGGTTTTGTCTTGCATCTTCTTCCGTTAAAATGTTAGGAGAGGTAAGAGATCCAAAAGAAAGCAGCTTCCCAGCTTGTACTGAAAATATCACTGTCACCCATCATCTGTTTGCACTCGTCAGATTTTTAAAAAAGTCTTATTTTATCGTATTCACACCATCCTCCATAGATGCGTTAAAAATGATTAATGCAACTTTGACTGTGACTGATATCCGATCAACTTTGCCAATAAAAACCCAAATAAAATTCTAAACTAGTCACATGAAATAGGATATAAAAACGTTTAAATTTTGTCAACACCCTCTGTGCTTCAGCACTTCAAAATACACAGAATATTTCACTGTATCCTGAATTGCTTCATGAGAAACATGGTCTCATTGCTTAGAAATGGGAGAACCAGAAATAGTCTTGGCTTGAGTTTTAGTGAAACAAAAATCATAAGACAAGACAAAAGCACCCATAGCCCAAGAGTTACACACTAAGCCTTGTTAAATCTTACAAAACTATTGCATAAATGCTATCATCCTCTTTCAGTAAAAGAGAAATAACTTGGTCTTTCCATATAAATTGGTTCAGCCTTTTGGGAAGAAAAAAAATCATAAACCCACATTTTGTTTACTTTACCCCCAATTCAATAAATTGTTGAGATACTGAATATTTAACAAGCACTTTAAATGGAGCTAAAAAACCCCAACCAATAACAAAACCCAAATGTGAGTAATCAGAGCTTAATTGGTGTCCTTTGACTTAACTGGATCTAACAGAGGTCACAATTTTATTCTCTGAAGCGCTGCCATCTTTAAAAGGTTCAACAGGTAACCATTAGGTTTTATAAATTAAAAAAAAATATTATTTTGCTGATCTTAAGCTTTTTATCACAAGCACCAAAGAACACCATAAGAAGCACAATGAAGAGTTTGTAAAAAATATAGATGGGAAAAGTGAATTTTGTATATAATATTTCCTATCAAACTAGGAGAAAACCAAACCCAAGCCTAAATGCCTCTTTGCTTTTGTTATAGTCTATACCCAGCTCCAGAAATCTGATCCCAAGCCTACTTTGATTTATAAGTCTATGGGAGAAAAGTCTGTCTGTGATGAGTAGAGGAATACTCTAAGTCTTCAGTCTGAAAAGTTGTAACAAAAATCAAGATATAGGAAACCCTCTGTTATTTACATGCTGTGAATTGCATGAATTGTGGTAGCTTGGAATAATTAATTTTGTTCAAGTAGTGAACGCTGAGAAAGAGATACCCAGTGAGATTCCACTTATTTTTAGACACAAAATGTGAGAGGCCAATACTACTAAACAAAGTAATCTCTAATGCTTCTAGCTAGAGGCACAGAACAAACATTAAACATTTTCCACTATATTTTCTCAAAAGCTTTTCAAGTTTTGCAGAGGACTTTCCCCATTTAAGTGCTTATTCAGTCTCATCACAGCACCTCAATCTGAATACAGACTGACACTGAATCCCTTGGAAATTTAAAGTCACTTTTGCTCAGGATAACGGAGTGGTCAATTCCATCTGCAGGAACAGCAGGTCTGACAAAATTAAAGAAAGACATGAGCTATATATTTTTTTTCCCCCAAAGCTAAGTAGAGAAGTTTGCCATCCAACTTGATAGAAGTGAAGAGTATTTTAGCCAGGCAACTTTTTCAATTTGCTCAAAAACTCTTGAGCAAAAGCCGTTGGAACATGGCAACTGCAGTCTGTGAAGAAACTGGAGAGCTCAGGCTTTTTAGTCCCAGTCAGGAATTTGAAAGCTCTGATAAAATGGTATTTCTGGTAAGAAATACACATTTACTTTTTTTGAATCAATTAAAGGTTTTCACGGAAAAAGAATAAATCACTTGATATAAAATTAGACAAAACTCTACTGAATTGCAAATCAGATGCAAAAATTGATTTTCTCTATTGTTTTGTATAAAAATATTCTATAAAAGGAATAAATTACATATATAGTGGAACAACACAGTCAAAATGTTTTGATGTTAATATTAAGTGTAATTATTTTATAAATATTTAATTATACCCAAAGTAAAATTGCAGTAAAACATGCAGTTTTACTAAAACAAAATATTTCAACCTTATCAAAATTAATAATTTCCTTGCTTGGGAGGAGGGTGAAGGGAAAAAAAAAAGTTAGCAACATTGTCTTTCTTGAAGTTTTAGTTTCATTTAACTCGCATTACCCAATGAAAAAAAAATAAAAATCTATCCCTCTGGGGGACATTCAAAGAGCTCTGCTCTCCACACCGGATGCCTTAGTACATAATAATTCTTTGCCTGATTCATTTGGATGAGCATTCCTGTTTTTTACCCATCTCTAGGTGATGCATTTATATCTCATCATAAAATTTTAATTGAATTGTTAACTTAAAAAGAGCACTGCATGTCAAAGAACCATTAGTTTCTTTAGATCTTGCAAGTAAAGATTAAAATTTCCTGTCATACTTGCAAAAAAATCGCAATTTCCCTTGTTTCTAAGTTACATGGTTCTTTATTTAAGAAGTAGAAGAATGCAAAACCCAAGCAGTTACAAAGTCTTTCAGTCATGGCAATTGCAACCGTGTCTTGCATTAGGGCTCTGTAAGAGAACAGTTCTCTGTAATGCAGAGAATATAATGTAATGCTTATCAATGGAAACTGTCTTTAGAACTGCTTCACCAAGTGGAGCTCTTTTGGATATGTTAACAAAGGGATTCCTGCCCTTCATTTCAAGAACTCAAGTGTTTTACTTATCAAATTTGCTTTTGAAACAACTCTTTTTCTGCTCTGAACAAAGATTCATCAGTAAATGAAAAATGACTTGAATAAACTCTTGGCCTATCTTGAAAGTCAGCAACCCAGAAAAAATCTCCAGTTCAGGGCTTACACTAAATACTCAACAGGCTAAATCTGACATAACTCCTTTTGAAATAGTCAGTTCTCTGGCAATTATAGTATTTACCTGCAAAAACGTAAACCCACAGTAGGACCATATTGTCATAGACTCTGGTTCTTCCCATAGCTGGGCAAAAGCAGAGATGTAAAGAAGGCAAGAGAGTAGTAGTGGGTCTAGGGGAACAAATTCCTTAGCTTTGAAAACTCAATCCAACCTCCTTTCCCTTATGACACTGTGGAAGAGAAAGAAAGGTATGTTTTCCATTCTTTGAACCACCACCCTTGCTCTTATAGCCAGAGGTTTCCATGTAAGTGTGGTTAACAGGAATGTACTTCTTCCTGAACATAAAAAGGTGCTTCCTAGACAATTTATTTTCTTGTCTTCCAGAAAAGAAGCATAGAGATTGGAGGTGAGGCCTTCCTGCAAGATGCCATACTCTAATTACTCCAACTATCAAAACTAAGATGACTCATTAAAATTGGATGAATACAGCTGGAAGGCTATTTCCTATCTTAATTCCATCTTAATTGTGACAGCAAATCAATAAAACTTTGGCATCCCCTTTAATTCTGCTGCTTAATTCTCCAAATCAATAAAATTAGAAAACTGCTCAGGAACACCGATCTCGAGCATATTCTTACCTTGAGTGCCTGCGTGGGCTGTCTGAACAAAGAAAGCTCCCATAAAGCAGCCAGCTCCATTAAAGAGAGTTAAAAAATGCATGGAAATCCCTCTAATTCTTTCTGGCACAAGCCGGAATGAAAGTAAGGAACCTTAGAAAGGAAGCAGACACAGTTACAAGTTAAAAAAAGAAGTGAATGATGGTAGAAGACAGATAGGACAGAAGAAAAATATCTGAAGTGTCTCTAAAAGAGACTTTCCGCAGCTTACACAGAGAATGCATTTGCTGCAGAAAGGCAATCAGATCTGTTTTCCTATGTCCTATTTACAAAGGTTTATCTAAACTGTTTACATGAATATCTGTGACAAACCTTTCCACGCAGAACTAACAATACTCCCTAAGTATGTAAAGATTTTTCACCCAGACAGTAGCTATCACCTTTTAAAACTTCGGGCATAGAAAGAAAAAAGAAACACCAGCACAGTCAGCAAGCATGAAGATAGCAGATGTGATATTTCACTGCAGGACAATGGGACCTCCTACACCAGAGCCAATTCAGCACGGCCACTAGTAAATATTTCCAAAATCTAGAGCTCTACCTTAATTTGGACAGTTACCTTGCTTTAGCTGGATGATGAGCCTGTTCCCTAGAGAGCAACCCTCAAAGTCACTGACTAATTTTCAACAAATTGTTCATCATTTTCTTGCCAGAAGACTAAGCCAGAAACAGCAATGACTTTGGTGGTGAGGGTTAGCAGTGGCATGCTCTTGTAGCATGGATGACTGTAAATAATTCCACCAGTTGTAATTCAGCTAAACTAGGTTAGAGTAACAGCAAGTCTTTATGATAGCTATTATTTTTGAGTAACTTTCCCTGCTTATCAAAACCTCTTTTTTCCTAGTTTCATATCTTAAGCCCTCACCCACACTTGTTCTCCAAGACCCAGTGTCTCCCAGCCTGCTTTATTAGTTGAGTTTGAATGACCTCCAGCTTGAGAAACTTGTCAGCAGAGGGCCTATTTGGATGGTGAGTTGCCTGAAGCATCTCTGAATACAAATGAAATTCTTCCACCCTTTTTAATTTGGATGTCCAAATGAGAGCTTTGGAAACATATTAAAGAAGAGAAAAAAATACTATGGGCGATGTTTTTGACTCATTCACAACAGGCACCAAAAGCCTCAGGGCAAGAGAAAGCAAGTGAGCCTGGGACACCATCTGTAGATCCAACAGTCCAGTTTGAAGCACCGTACAGTCAGCATCCTAGCTAGTTTGAATCACTAAGAGCCCAAAAGCTGTTCTGTTATTCCTCCCTTTTATAAAAGCATGGGTGCAAAAAGTGCATCTTGGTCAAATTCAGACTGGGTAATTGCATCCTACTTACCTAAATTACCCCTTCTTTTTCGCTGCTGCTGTGAGCTATTAAACAGCTGCTGCATTTCACCCTGGAGAATATTGCATTTCACTGGCGGGTAAAGCGATCCCCAATATATCCTTTAACTAACAGAGCTGCTTCTTATAAGGCTTCCCATTTCGGAGGGCTTTGAGACATGTTGATGGGCAGACGATACTCTTGCAGCACTTTAGGAAACACTTGCAGATCTGCTCATCCTTTGGAGGGCAAAGCAGCTCCAGTGCACCAGAGAGCTTGGACACTGGCAGCACAACAGCTGCTGGGGCCGGCAGGCTGCCTTCACTTCACCACCAGTTTCATGTGCTGCAGGGGCAAATGTCTGATAGTATTGTCCCACAGGATGAAGTAATTCTGTAGGTTTGTGGGGGATTTTGTGGCTTTTTAAAAAATTTTTTCCTATTTTTGGTGGTGGTATTTTAGAGGGTTTTGTGGGGTTTTTATTTTTCTTCATTTTAAATCATTGGCCTTGAAAAGAGTAATTTCCTGGTTTAAACCAAGTTAATGTTACAAATTCAAGCTGTCAGAGGCCTGTGCGGTCTAACACTCTAACGCTGCGGAGGAGAGCAATTATTTTATCATTGTTTTATTTTATTTTCTAAAGACTGACTCAGTGCTAGGGAAATGGTAAATGCTGATATTATTAAGACATGCTTTTGCCACCTGAAGCAGATGATTACAGAAAATTCCTATCAACAAGATAATGAAATATGTTGTTTAAAAACAATGGAAAGTATCAGGGCTCAAATGTAGATAAAGCGCTCAATCTGTCAAATGCAGTTCCTCTAACCAAGTGCTTCAGAAATGAGATATCTCCTCTCTTCCCTCTGATTACAAGTGTGAACATTTCTGTCTTCAACTTGGATCGTGTACTTTCAGGTCAAGTAAATTATTATGATAATTGACTTTGACCTTCTGCATAACAAAGGCAGTAAAATGTCAGGAAAGGTGAAACAACTATTTAAGCATCTAGGTTGTCATTACCATTCATGGAGATCCACTGAATGGTTCCTGAACAGCAATTCAGTTCAAATTGAAGCAGAAACCTAGAGCTCAGTTCAGTAACCTGAATACAGATGCTGGAAATGCCCTAGTGCACCTTTGCCACCTGCACAGGGCTGTCTGAAAAGGTGCAAGACCTACAGGAAAATCACATTCTTCTTCAGTAACAGCTAGAGGCCCCCCAGGTACTGTAAAGAGCTTGCTCGCCCCATGTGCATAGCCTGGGTACTCTATGACACCACGACTTCAGGCACCTTTGTCTGGGCAAGTGAGTGGAGACCTGCATCCCCATCAGCTACAGCAGAAATCTACAATTTTAGGTAACTACCCTTAGTTTTCTACATGCAAGTCACAAATTTAGACTTAGTCCCATTTACCTGGGTTCCTGAATTGCACCTCTAATTGCAGCCCTTAGTGAAATGGTTAATCTTTATTTAAATGGGGAAGAAAACTTTTCATCCTAAAAAATTCTAATCACAATCTTTTAGAAAGGTTTCTTAAAAAAAAGAAAAAACCACAAAACCCCAAGACAAAGTTTTATTTCTTTTCTAAAGGCTAATGTTTCTTCCAGCCACTGGATTTCTGTTGTGTCCCAGCATGCTAGATTAAAAAGTCTTATTCTACCAACAATATTCTTCTCATACTTCTGCATTAGAAGACTGTAAGCAAGCCACATCCTAACCTTTTTTTTATAAGCTAAACAAAGAAGGTCACAGTTTTCAGTTATACTTAGCCTGTAACCTAGAAACCACATTACCTGCCTAGAAACCTGTCTCAGTTAAGTACTTGAGAGCTATCAGATGAAGAGGCATTATGAAAGTGCTAAGTATTTAAAACTAGGGAAAATTACCTTTTTAGTGACAGACCGTGACCCACAGCTCTCAGTAGTCTTAGAGTGTAAGAATGAAGCTGAGACACTTATTTCCTGCTCTTAAATAAAGATCTGAATATTTCTGAACAATAGACACGATCCGTAGAATTAAATGCCTGCAGAGATCAGCTAGTTGATTACTTATGTCTCTGAGTGAATGTTGATTAGATTATTTTTGTAATGCAAACATTATTTTTAAGCTCTGCAAAGTAAAACACTGGTAAGCACTCCCTGTGCTCCTTGAAGGAAATAACCCTCAGGAATGTCAGTGTAGATGTGGAAAAGTAAACTACAGAAGGGAGAGAAGGTTCAGACTCACAATCAAGCGCATGTCTACAAAATTTGTGGATGGCAGGCATGAGTTAAGCTCTGCTTGTGCACTGCGAAACAGGAATGTGTATCTACAGGTCCATGCCACAAGCTGAGGCACAATGCTCTGTGCAGGCCTGTTTGCATGACTCCCACTTGGAGTACAGACAAAAATCTTGCGTCTGCCTACAATACTCTCCAGGTGAATTGTGTCATGTGAATTGTGCTACCTGCGTGCATATGCTCTGTGCCAGTGAACAATGTGTAGTAATTCTATTAGCAGGGTCCACAAACAGAAAGGGTTAGGCCTAAATTAGTTCACCTTGCTTTGACTGTGGCTTAAAACGTGCTCAGGCTGTAACAACAGCTCAGATGCCATGTGCATTCCATGTCAAGAAAATCATCACAGTAGAGTTCAGGTCAAAAGGAACCTCAGGAAGACATCTGGTTCAGGTCCTGCATGAAGCAGGTTCAGCTTCAAGACCAGTTTGAGCCTTGAATCCTACACCTCTGATCATCCCCCCACCAAACAGAGGCTTACACACCCCCGGGACCTGACCAGGCTGCGCTACCTTTCAGTTAATCTGGAACAATGTCATTGCTCACTCTGAGTTACAGCCAGCAAGACAAAATATGCTGCTCTGAAACAGGTGAAGCACAGATCTGCTCATTAAGCCTGTGGAAGAGAGCCAGGGATAAAATATCATATGATAGTAATTATTTTTAGGAAGCTGACATCATTCTTTGCGAATCAGGACACTTGCTTTAGCCATTAGATTTTACTTACAGGAGGGAGTTACCAAGGCTTCAGCCACTCCAAGTAGGATGTACTGAGGAGCTAGGTGGAAGCAAGGCATGGAGGAGACCAGGAGGACCTCTTCAGCAAGTGTCTGCTCCACCAGAGGGAAATGCTTTCGGTGTATTTCAGAGAAGCCAGCAACCACCATGGAAAGTGCAGCAGATAACTGACCTACAACTGGGTAAAGAGCACAGAGAGCATTTACCAAGGTTGTAGTTACAGAATCATTATGCGTTTAGAACGAATCAAATTCCTAGGAGATGCAAAAGAAGCTTCCCTCATCTCGCTTCCCTAGTACATCCTTTCTGGACAAAAACATGAGGAGAAAAAGAGAAGGCATCAGCAGCTCTTTCACATATCACAAGAGACTGAGTAGAAACACAGCCACCAAGCAGGGAGAAAAACTCCAAGCAGTAATAAGATTCTGAAATGTACACATATACCATATGCTTTACCCATTTTTTTTTTCCACACAAAAAATAGTAGTGCAGGCAGTTGAAGTACTGGATTTCTAAGACTGCAGTTCATGGAAGATGGGAAGAAAAAAAAAAAAAATCAGCAGTGCATATCACATCTCAGAAAGTCAAACATTCCTATTTGTTCCCCCCCTTCTCCTCCACTATAGAATTCCCTTGAACTGCTTTCAAAAGTTTGTTGGATAATGCATTTGCTGGACTTTAACATTTTAGGAAGAGATGAGTTTCATTACTAGGAGACATAATCAGCAGGTTTTTAAATGTTTACTCATAAGCTGTTGGACCACAGCCACCTCCTGCCTTCAGCTGTCCTGAAGAAATATCACAGCATGACCGTAATACACCAGCTCCACAACACATGTCAACATATTACTCATTTATATATATTACTGCACAAGAAACGCGTGGAGTCTTGCCACCTGCCTCAGTGGTAAGGCACCAATACAAGCACTGCAGAAGCACACAGAGCAGGAAAACACCCCTGCATATTTAGTCTCATATAATGTAACATAAAAGCTTCTAATAAGCTCAGATGTGTTTTAAACACTGCACACTTCACTATGCATTACAGAGAAGACATTAATTTAAGTATATTATTTTATTTTTCTTGAAGTTGATAGCATGAAATGGCTGTAGCCTCTCAGAAAAGAGAAACACAAAGTATTCAAGTCTCCTGAACCCAAAACTTTTATACTTCTACTGTTTTGACCTCCCGTTCATCTTGACTAGGTTTGTGATTCCTAAGCTGTAAGTATAGATGTGAGAATTCAGTTTCCTTCAACAGCTTTGGCTCAAACATGTGGACTATGTTTTTCCACTTGTCTTAGAAAACCTCATCTCACTTCATGACCACAGACTGTCACACTTACTAGATTTGACGTCAACCATCAAAGGCTTTTGTTTCATATTTTATTTATGACATATACAAAGTTTGTCTCTCTGGGTGTCAGGACAGAAGAGACAAAAAACTTGTACAGCTCAGTGACCTTCTCCTTGTTATGTTTTTGCACCCACCAGCACAGTTTTCCTCTGTTTTCACAACTTTAAATACCCTCCTCCCCAGCTAACCTGAGGTTTGGAAGGTGTTTTGCTGTTAAAGTCCCTCTAGTGCTTAATAAGAACATCAATGAATTATTGCTTGAAAATTGATGACGAGAGGGAATTCAACAGCATTTTCTAGCCAATACATCCTATCAAGGCCGTGTATAAAGATCTCAAGGAGCTTCTTGTAATCTACCAAAGGAAGAGTTTCCAAGTGAAAAATTACATTAGTGCTAAAGAAAACTCAAGCAGTTCAACATTACTACACAGTGCTCTATTTTAAGCATTTTCCTTACTAAAAGCCAAAACATTTCAGAAAACATAGCCTCTGAATGTCCAACAATTGTGATATTTCTTTCAAGACATTATGTGGCAGAGGAAGAAACCAGGATCTTTGGAGACCTGGTTTCCCTCCTACTTCTTGCCCCTTCAGTCTTTTTTAAAATAAGTAGCTTGGAAAAACCATCTGAGGTTTTGGTTTTACAGGAGAACAGGCTGTTTAAAGAGCACTTGGGGATGATTCTAGGGCAAGGTTCTTTATATCATCTAAAGACTAAGGCTGTATTGGACCTTTGTGGTTCCCGATCTCATATCCTGAGTAAAACAAGTCAAAAAACTGTCCTGGAATTAATACTTGTTCAAAGTTTTAGGGAGTAATAGTCATCAACTCCCACATCACCTCTAATAGACATTGGAGTGGAGGCTTGTTTTTTGTTTCTATATGGAGAGCTATTCTCCACATCGCTCTTGGATGGAGTCAATCCAAGACTAATAAGACATTTCAGTAAAATCAAACATTAAGAATATTAGAGCATGAACTTCTGCGGCTCAGGTAGTTCAGCTAGAGCCTCTTGAGTGTAGCTGATGGACAACTATCCAGCAGACACACACCTTCAGTTCTCTGCTGAATCTTCCCTACTATGGACTAAATCAAGCAGCATAAAGTATAAAACAAACAAAAACCCCCCAAGCCCAGCAACAAACCCCTTACAAACAAACAACTATGAAACTGAAATAATTCTGTTTACCATGTTTTTCATAAAGAGGTCCAGATATTCAATATATTCAGGACACAACCTAAATTGATGTTAAGATTTTAAACTTTTTTTTAGATCATACCTAATTTATAAATAAACCCACAACTATGAAGTAACATAAATCACAGTTTTTATGTAGATCCTTATTAAAGAACAATCAGATATTTCAGCTAAGTATTGTCTGTATGGTTTGTCCTTGAAAACTGTTAAATTCTTAATATACTGAAGTTTACTAGAAAACTATTTAAATTCCTTTCTCTTAGAAGATTTGAATTAAAATATAGTAATAGGATGGCTTAACATCAACAGCGTATTTATACTTCCAATTTTGTTCCTGAAAATAATTGTGAACCTAATTAACTGTTGGCAAAAATATTGGCGCTTAGAGGTCTACCATATTTGCAGGTGCAGTCATATACTTGGATACGTAAAGTCATCGCCTATACTTACAGGTATTTTTATGCCTCAGGTCATTTATCACCCCTAACAGGAGGCTATTTTAATAAATGATGCTATTAAGAATAAACCACTGCATATATTCTACTGCTGTTCAACATAACCGGATAGAACATTAATACTAACTTGAAATTTCCATGGTTTTAAGGAAAGTTATTATCTGAATGTGTTTTTTGTAGTTTAAATGCAGATGTTATTTTAAAAACTAGGGTAATTGCAACCTGCTGTGTTATATGCATCTGGTTTGTATAAAACTTAATAACACTCTTAATTAGGCTAATTTAGTCAGATTAATACCTCTGTGTGTGTCAGTACTCACTGTGCTGCTTGCCATGGGGCACTGAATTAATAGTAGCACACTGCGAAAATAGTCGTTTATAAATATTTTTTTCTGAGGTTTGCAATGCAGGCTGGAAGATAAAAAATGTAGGGAGCTTAATGAGAATATATACAAAAGGGAATAGTTTTAAGTGAGTACAGAATGGAAATTGCTTTCCTGGTTTGGTAGATGTAGCAGATATCAGAAGATGGTTGCAGAGGAGCCCTCCAGATCCTAGAACATGAGGTTTGGGCATCAGGGGTAATTAAAAAAAAAAATTAAAAACAAATCACATCAATGTCAACAGAAGGAGGCCCAACCCCTGCTAAAGCCATCATTAGTTCTAGGCTACGAATTTCTCTGAAATGAGTGCCAATCTACAAGCCTGAGTTTACAACACTTAACTGTTGAAAATGTTAGGACTCTCAACAGGCATGACTTCTTTGTACCCCTTCAATGAGGAAGAGGTAATGCTTCACCTCTGGAGATCCCCCTTTTGCTTTACTTTAAGTGTACAATAGCATATGTTTCAGCTTTGGACAACTATCCCATCCTAGATAGTCAAATAAAAATTATAGTAGAAGAAAGCTCTCCAAGTAACCTTCCAACCATGAAATGTTCACTCTGTTCAATGGGAACAGCAGTCCAGTGATATGCATCCATTTCTCTTTTATGTAGTTTTCTGCATGTTTTATTTTGCTTGCCTGTTCTAAAACCACTTACTGCAGACACAGAATTAAAACTAGATACTTTTATTTCACTTGAGATACAACTGCAGTTTGGAATAAACCATACTCTAATGGTAACACAGTTTGCCCTCTTATGAGCTGCGGTCCTAACCCTAATACAATCACAACACAAAAATATGAGAAAAAACAAACCCTTTGTTCATAATGTAGTTATTTAAACCCGAGCTCATCATTTGGAGCAACAAACAGAGAGCAACTAACAGAGGGACTCTCCCATTCAGGCTTAAATGGTTAGTACCGATTCTCTCATCAATTCCTTAGGATGACTCCTAGTTACTTGTGAGCGTGTCTCAGAACTTTCTATTCACTAGAAGAGTCTCAGTCTCTGTCTTACACAAATGCTACACATTTTTCTTGATATCTAGCATGTGTTTTCAGGACCATCAGGACCAATTCATTTCAGACATATTCACTTCTGAGCATCATCCCGGAACAAGTCCATCTTAACATTATTGTCAGAAATAATTGTATAGGATCATCCACCAACTACCAAAGTTTCTCTTTCAAAAACAGAACGTGTATTCAAGCTATAAGAACATGTGAATTTTTTACATACCAATGTAAGTTGTTGGACAATGTCCAGTGTCCTTGGAACTCAAGAGACATGAGTTAATGCATTCCAAAACAGGAACAAGAATCAGCAGTGGCACGATGCTTATCACATTCATTGCTGCAACTGGCAAGACAAATCCACTGAAGTGCAAGTTGGAATTCATGGTTTGGAGATAATATCCTGAAGGAATCTGTATAGAAGGATAAAACCCAACTCCTTTAGTATACTGGGTACCTTTCATGGATAAGATTTTTATTGTATCTGGAAACTTCTCCAACTCGTTTCCTTCTGAAGAAGTCACACTAAATCAAATAGCTGCTGGCCAAAAGAAACAACCATTAATGATTAAAGTTTTTTGGAGAGTGACATTCTCCTCTGTCAGAATGTAACATTTCCCTTCTATTCCATTTTCTCATGAATTTAACAAATCTAAGCATCAGTCTATTAGTTCATTTGATCATCCCTAGTTAAAGCTATCAGCCAATATACTAAATGGTTCTGCCTAATACTTTAGTCACTGCTCACAGATAGTGTTCAACAGAACAGAATCTTAGAATAGCAAGATGCAGAGTTACTTTGAACTTCTGATTGTGTGCTCAAGGTGGGAGTAATTTTTAGAAGACTCTAGCCAGCACATGGCTTTAAAAGCTACAGGAAACGAAGATTTAGACACAGTCACAGAATGAGTTTAATGCAGCTGACAGTCATAGCAGCTATACAGAGGACTTCCTTCTACTTCTGGGAATTAAAAACAAAAGAAAACTAATAACCAAATGAGAAACTCACCATTAGTAGTCATCTGGGTATGAAATTAAGTAGATTTATAAGACTGCCTCTCACTTAAAAGCAAATAATTCTTCCTGTTTGTGGGAGGCTTTACAGAATATCTGTTGTGTTTATTAAAACAAAACAAAAAAACCCAAAACCAAACAAAAAAAACCACAATGACTTCTACCAATGGATTTTTCAGTTTGTTTCTTTGAGGAAGCTTAACTACCTAAACATTGCAATTTCATGTGCTGCAAGGAGTTGTAATCCACTCAATTTTACAGACTGATGGGCAAAAAAAAAGAGAGGTAACTTGAGCAATTCATAGAGTACAGTCATGACAGAACTGCTTTCTTTACTCAGTTTCTGTTTTTAAAGAGCTCTGGATTGCTGCAGCATTCTGCAACACTTTTCAACATGACTGGTAATGTCAAATCCATGCAGAATATTACTGCTTTATAGCTGCCTGAAAATTAACATATAGTTAGTAACAGAGCTCATACAGGTTTTCTCATCAACGTTTATAGTCAATCCTACTCACTAGGAGTGAGTTTAGTGCTAAGGAAATACTCAAATGCTCACTCCTAATAAAATATTTTCATGTACATTCCACCTGCAAAAGAAAATGTAAAAGGGTGAGTAAATGGCAACAGAGCTATGAAAGATCAGAATTGAGACAAATTTTGTTGGTTCCTTCGTTCCATTGCCTATTGTAAATCAGAATTGACTTCTTAATAAGAATCAAAATATCATCAACACAAATAATGGGCACTGAAAGTTGTTATAATATGGAAAAATATTATTAATCTTTACAAAAGAGATACTGATTTATTGCCTACTCCAAGAAGAGCATTAAACTTATTGGAAATTCTCCCAAAGGAATTAAAACCACCTCTTTCAGCGGTGCAAATGCTTATATTTTCTAGATATATACCTGATTATTAAAACCCTGATTAACACTATCTGGTTCATATTCATCTGGTCATTAATGTATAGCCTTGAGCCATATGTATGCATTTGTCAGTCTAGGGCTGTTTTGTTTGTTTGTTTGTTTGTTTTTTGCTTGGGATTTTTTGAGTTGGTGGTATGAGGAAGGAAGAGGAGAAAGAACGAGGCAGATGGATGGGAATGCAGGATGCTAGCAAGAGAGAGTGTCAGTAAAGCAATATACACTAGATATTTGTAAGAATTTCCTTAGACAGCATTTTAGCATCAATAACTAAAAATGAACTTCTGAGCCAGCACATAAATTTATTATTCCAGTTTCCAAGGGGTAAGCTACCTCAAACTACTGCTTAACCAAGATCATCCAGACAGAAACGAATCTGAAGGAATCATGTCAGCTTAAGCAGCTTCATGACATATTTACATTTATATAACATACACAGACACAGAAGCAGAAAGAACCACATAGCCTGATGGAGAGGCTGTGAAAGGACTGCTTCTTTCTACAAATGGAAACACATCGATTTCCAGTGTAGGTACACCAGCCCTATAATCCTGTCAAAAAGGTAGGAGAAATACACGATCAAAAGAGCAAATAAGGATTTTCTACTTCTCTCAAAAAGCGAGAGAACATTAAAAAAATTGGAAATTATATTTTTGCAGAAGAATGCTGAGCCTGAGTCTCTGGTAACTGATAGCAGCATGAGGATCACAGGACTCCAGCACTAGATGTTTCAGCCATTCAGGGTTTAGTAGCAAGCAGTCACACAAGCTCCTTAATGAGTCTTGGCTGAGTCAGTTTTACTCATTTCATGAGATGAGAGGATATAGCAACATATATTCTCAGGTAATTAAAAATACTCTGCAAGATTTCTCCGCTGGTAAAGCAATGGTTAAAACCCCCCATGCCTAGGGAGACAGCAGTAAATGCATGTCACAGTGTATTTCAAGATTTTTTTGTTTAAAAAGTTGCATACCCACCTGCATAATACATGTTCTGTATAGAATTTGGAAAGCAAACAACGGGAAGAGCCTAGCGAGCGACTTTGTGCTTTCCACCTGAGTCTCGCTGTACTGACCACCATAGTTTTCCTTGGCGTGATCTAGCCAGTTTGTCACTCCTCCACTAAAGTAGCGGTACCGTACGCAGCACGTTTTCAGTGCACTTGCAATTACACCAAAAGTCGTCAGCAGGGAACTGTCTGCAAACAGAGACGTTAGACATTAATATATTTTTACTTGCTGTCAAAATAAATAAGACTGAACACTTTGGGAGGGAAAACACAACCCGATATATACACCTTTATGTCTTTTGGGGAGGGGTCAGTAAAAAAACCCTGGATTTGAACAATGACATCACCGAGGTCACGGGTTTGATTCCTGCTCGGTCCCTATGTGTTGCCTAGTCTATTCAAGAGGTGGCATCCCTGCCCATGACAGGGAGGTTGGATTAAACGATCTCTAAGGTCCCTCCCAATCTAGGCCATTCTATGATTCTATGAAAACATTCTTTCTGGGAAGACAGCTGGTCCACAATGTAATTGTTACAAAAGCAATCCAGCCCAACATCAGGAGAGAAAAGTGCCATTTGCTACCAGTTATGTAACCCACCGCAACAATTTGTTGCTATATTTGAGCACGTAAAGTATTGCTTTCCTTTGCTTTTGCTTTCTATTAATTGCGTGAGGTTAGTTTTCAATTCAAGATAGTACATCTGCTCAAGTCCAGCAGCAAGGGAAAGGTGAAATGAGAAGGGAGCTCAGAAGACTGAAGAAATCAGAGAATTTTCATGGATGCATTTCAAAGCCAGAAATATTATCTCAGGATTTCCAAGCGTCATGCTGTAGCAGAGAAGTTTCCAATCTAGTACTTGCCATACTAAAATTTGTTCACTGGTTACCCAGATCAGGAATTGCTAACCTGGTTCTCAGAGGAACTGGAGGTAAAACGAGGACAAAACTGTTAGCTTCATGCTTGAGAACAGAGACTCATTTACCTTTGTTAAGTTGCCATTCATGCAAATAGGGGTTATAGCACTTTTCTGCTTTTTTGAGATTGTTGAAGCACTACAATAGCTTGGGTATCTATAAGTAAGTATTTTCCAAAAAGTAAGGTGATCTAAGATCACAGAGGGAAAATATCTCCCTACTACCTCTGGTATGGAAATTAAATTGTGGAAATATCCATTGACACCTGTTAGAAGCACTTGCTCTAGATTATCAGGAAATAACATTTTATTAGATAACTTAACATGTAAAATTTTCAGGCTGTTTAACATTAAAGTGTAGACTTGCTGGCATCATTGAATAATATCTGAAGTAGGATAACAAAGCTTGCAAACACAGAGTTAGCACAGCTTTCATCGTTCTGTATGACTGTACCAGGCAGCTATTCTTACCACTCATTAAGTGATGTTTAAGTTTAGGTTCTAGACCTTTTGAAGACCAAATTTGAAGACTAAAAGAAAACTTCCAGAGTGACTTGACTAAAAAGCTAACCAGAAAACAAGTGGGACTTGGGGGTCTTGTGAAAGTAGAGTCATTTTTCAGAAATAAAAAATAAAAGGTAGCTGAAAAGCCTGTATCAGCTCAACTCATTGGCAGATCTATTAACTACGTGTTTTAGGTCAGAGAAGTGATAATTTTTTGCTTCACCCTGTACTAGAGATTGGACATTCACAAAGAAGGAATGAAAAGCAGTAATGTAGTGTTACTGCTCCTCAAAGGTTTGAACCCAGCTGGTGTTAAATCAGAAGAGGCACAGAGTATCCCACCACAAGACAAGCAGACAGCTCAACAAAGCAACAGCATGGCTGTGTCCTGATTTATCTGACCTAGTCTCAAAGATGGCCATGGCCATGTCCTTTCCTTTGGAATCAAAGGTGTTGGGCAGACTTTTTTAATCTCATTGAAAAAGAAAAAAATATAAATACAAAAATAGACAACAAATCCTGACATTTCCCTGCTTTTCCCAATGGATCAGCTGAGGTCCTCTTTAATTTCAGTCAACTACCTAGAAAACACTATTTTATATGAGGCAAAATAGACATTTAGCTGTGTTTCTTGGCATGGAATTTCAGCAGATTATAAAACCCAGTAAACTAGTAAGATAAAGCTGCTTGAAACTGTAATTCAAAAAGCAACTTGAATGATACATAGACCTAATTGATATAAGGAGGATTTTGTCAATGATGTAGTTGGAATAACTATCTCATCGCTTCTTTAAAAGAAAAGGAGTAAACCCTAAAGGACTCCTATAGTGGTGTATACTGCAGATTAAAAATTTAATCAGCTAATAAGAGACACGTTTAAAAGCATAAATATTTATATCAATACACATTGTGTAGATAAACATCACACATGTTATACTTGCATTTCAAACATTTTCTTAAAAAAAACCCACCCTATCTGTACAGGTATTAAATTGCAACTTTCAGAAAGTGATTTTCCTTCTCCTTTATACTTCAGCCCTTGGCTCTAATGTTCTGCCACCTTGACCTTGATCTAATCACAGATATCTATGCTACTTAATTAAAGTGAAAAGTCTACATTGCACCCTAGATGGTGGATACACATTTTTTTCCTCATCTCTGGTCACCTGTCAGTCCTCAAAATTACAGCAGTGAGAAGAAATGCTTTACAGCTAAACATAATTGAATGCATGATCCGTATTTGAAGAGTTACCTTAAACTAAAAAAGGCAGCATATATATAAACCATTTATGGTCACCTATAGTTCTGAATTATAATTCTGAAGAATTTCCAGTTTCATTATCTCTCTGGAGGTACTAAATATATTATCTTTTATTTTGACTAAGGAGACAAAAAACTTTCCATGTATTGTTGTAGATGTTGGCATTCTGCAAAGATGTGGGAAGTATGTGATAAATCAAACAACATTCATAGGGAAAACCACTTGATAAATAAAAATCTGCTAGTTTTGTTGATGGCCAAATAGACATAATCTACAAATTTATGACATTCTACTTTTGTAGATTACGTCTAAAAATTATGTCTAAACAACATTCTACTTACTGGAATTAAACTTGCTAGATGGTAAACTACAGATTTAGTCTACATGAAATAGTCCAGCTCAGGGGTAGATACTAAAGAATATTTTTACCTTCTCGGGTCGTAAAACTTGTAGCGAGCCCCAGCAAGCCAGTCAGCCACCATTCCCTTCATAAGAAGCTAGCTAAATTGATGCTAGTCTTTGCAGACCTCAGCTGCATATTATCAAGAAGTTTTGAGTGCACTGTGGAAGAAATGCATTTCTTTGGCTCTCTTTTTTTTTTTTTTTCTCCCCTGAATCTCTTTAGTGACATCCTCACTATGATATTCCCAGGTGCTTTATTTATGCATTCATTCCCTCATTGCTAAAATATTTTTGCTTAGACTATAACAAAAACTCTGAAAGTATTTGCTTTCAGTTTCTTGGTTCTATTTGAAAAGGAACAGCAAGGTTTGGGCATTTACAGCCTTATTCTAGTCACTTAGTCTCCACTCATATGCCTGTGCTTGGTCAATGGAGAGGGATAGCAGCCATCAAATGATTTCGTAGAGCTCAGGTACTAACTTGTGAGGCCACAGAAATGTAAGAACTTCTGTATTAAAATAACTGCACAGTGCACTATTTAGAGCTATTTAGTGTTTCTAATTATTTTCAAATGTGTAAAAACACTTGATGTTGTTTAAGCAAGCACGCTGAAATAACAATTAGCATCAGATGTTCTGCAAGATAAAGGCATATAAAACTACTTTGCTACTACTGCATATTCCTGTTTAGCTGACTAACTAAGCTTGGCTCTCCAGGTGGAAGTTTAGGTGGAGCAATGGAGTCCACTTAAGGGAGAAAACACAAGCGCACTAGTGTCTTATAATAAGTGCAAACTCTGCTTTAGCTGACCAAAACACATCGGGTGTAGGTTGAACTAAACATGATAAAATGAAGTCTGTCAGCAGCACCATATTTTCTTCTTGCACATGAAAATGCCTTCGACATAGCAGAAAATACATCTAAATTTAGCAGAGACTGCCTTCCAGTTTTTCAGCCTATGCAGAATCTCCAGTTCTGTCTTTACAGGAGATGGATGTTGCCTCTTACACACAGAGCTTGTACAGCTAAAACACAAGTATCTCCAACTAAACAGGGAAGAATTGTGGAAGAAATTGCTTAGATATGAAAGTTGATCTCTTCTGTGAAAATAATCTCTAAAGATATCTCCTCAGATATAGTTGCCTCTTACCTGTTTTGGGTCTGTAAATCATTTCACCTCGCACCATGTGAATTGTGATCATAGCCATAAGCACGGACACAAATGGGATAAGAAAACCAAGGCTTCTGGCCACAGAATGCTGGATATAAGAAATGCTGACAAAGACAACTGCCGAATTTAAGTTAACCAGCCAATAAAACCTAGTACACACAGACAAGAGAGAAGAGTGGAGAGGCTGAATAATATAAGGCCTTTACAGAAGATTAAAACATTAAATTAAAGGCATGGTTAGTAACCATGGACAGCATCAGTACCACACACACATTGATGCAGCAATTAACATGAAATTTCACTTGGATGTTTCAGCTGCAAGAGGTGTAGGATTAAAGTAAATCTACAAAGGCAATAGAGCTGAACAAATTATCAATCTAGTACTGGACATTTTTGTGGATCAGACTAAATATATCACCATTTACCACTTATATATTTAATATCTGATAACATAAGCTTTGTGTATGCAATATCATCAAATCAAATATTTTAGGCTTAAGAGAGAAATGTCTTGATATCCTGTCTCATTTAAAAAATATTAGAATTTGATTTATCAGAAGTCATGGTTTTTCCATTAGTTGCAAGGCTCATCCTGAATTTTTGTTGGCTTCTAGAAATATCTTGATAAGGAGATTCCTCAACATAATTTGCTCTGAGAGTGGCTTTGGCAGTAGAGGTTTTTCCCAAGTAAGTGATGAGCCCCTCCTATGCACAGAAGATATTAAAATGAAAATCACATGCTCTTAGAAGCAGAAGACATACCACTAGTGATAGGCCTACCACAGTTTGGAACCCCTGACAGTAGCACAGTAAATATACTTTGAAGAATTATAAGTATAGCAAAAATCAGCACCTCCCCCAAAAATAAAATGCTAAGAAAATGCATTTCCCTGGTAGGATGCAAAAGGATAACTACATACTTTTCTTATACTAGTAAATAAGTTTATACCTGCACAGTTAAGAGTATATTGTCACCATATCTTTTTTTTAATTCTTAACTCCTACATAACACATGAAATGCATGGCAACATGCCTATGTATCTTGCCTCACAGGACCCAGGGCAAGCAGCAGGAGAAAAAAGGATGTACTTCATCATGGCAAAGCCAATGCTGCTGAGAGTCATGCAGCAGCAGCTCTCCTGGAACCAGCAAGAACTTGTACAGCAGTGAATTCTCCTGCATCATGCACTTCTCTGAAATGACACCAAGACATATCCAAAGTTCCAAACCAATTACTGCTTCCTTTAAGTAAGTTACATTTTCTGGAGATGATACTCATCAGAATCATGGACTTTTCCTCTCTACTGAGAACAGTCTCTAGGGCCTTTGGAATTATAATTGTATAGTTGGAAGGATTTTGTAAATACCCATATTAACACCTGTTCAACTAAAGCTTTTTTTTTTTAAAACAAAACAAAACACAACTGACTCAACTAGAATTTGTGTAGAAGTTTTGAAACAACTCTTAACTTACAATTTTAAGCTAAAAGTTTCAGTGTGTGTTTTCCAAACTTTCTAAAGAATTGTGCCTGAGCTACCCAAAGTCCTGACACTCTTCATGACTCTATGATTGTTTCACTAGAAATAGGAAGCTCCAGAGGAAACCCTTGAGTACTGGAGAGTGCTTTTGTTTTTCACCACCATATAGCAAAGTATTGAAGACTGAAATGTAAAGGTCCTGTCCTCTTACAGAAATGAGAAGAAAAAAAAAAAAAAAAATCACATTTTCGCATTCCCTGTGGGCCAAACAAGAAATATGACCTAATGCCAATGCACACATCAGAATTTTGAGATTTGCTCATATCATATCGACAGCAGCAGATCAGAACTTACAGAAACAAAACTACATCATGCTAGCTCTCATATACCACAGTCAACTCATATTACAGTGTTTAGACTTGCTTTATATTAAGTGTCTCGGAGATCCCAGGATGACATAACTGAATTAAATACGTCAGACTAAATATCATGTCCAGCTTTGCAGGGAACTGCTACTTCCTGGAGCTTCAGCACTCTGAGGTTTCCTCACAATGAGAGACAAACGCCAGCTTTGGAGGCTCATTTCAAGACTGCAGTCTATATAAAAATCTAAATGCTATTGTGGCACGTCCCTAAAAAACTAATAATTTTTTTTTATTTTACAGAAAAGCATCCATTGTAATGACTTTAAAGACATAACATCCAGATGATTTCTTATCTAAAAGTGCTGTTTATGTTTAGACAATATTAAAAAGTTTTTACCTAATGTAACACTTGAGATGAACCTGCTAAATGAAACAATCTGAAATCAAGTAAAATATATAAAAATCTACTAAAATTGAACTTTTGTCACTTTTTGGATTAATTTTGAAAACTCAGTAGATAGCCCTTCACTTCAAATACTATTTGCTTTTATTTTTTAAGCATGTTTAGCTCTCATAGTTTATGTTTTGATTCATCCAAACTCAAACCCAGGTATTTCATGTATGGACCAATAACCAAGCTACTTGTTTTGCTGTACTACAGCTTTGTAGGAGAAGGTAAATTTTTTTCAGGATCACTATGGAGTCCTCTGCAAAGACAAGTTGGAGGGAAAAATCCCAAAGGGGTAGAAAAAGCCAAACAAAAGTGTGTCCAGGATAACAGCCAAAACTAATCTACAGTATTTGCAAAGAAAAACTATAGATAAGAGAAGGAAGGGAAGAAGGGAAATACTGCTGGTCCCATGTTCTCTGCCTTTTTTTTTTCCCCCCCCCACCCCTAGCAGATCAGTGAGACAAGGCAGAACACTGCTAACTCTCATCTCTAGTCTGGATTGTACCCCTTGCTCTCATTCTTTGCTCCCATAGGCAGAATTCACTTCTGCTGCAAAAAGCATAAGAGTTCATAACCTTAACCTTAGAAAAGCAGAAATCATTAGGGAAACTTAGTCAAGCAGAATCCAAGCCCCTTCACAGCATTGGTGTATCCTGTTTATTTAAAAGGTCAGAGTTGTAGTTCATACTAGGGGTTAGAATTAGGCCCTAGATGAGCAAAGCTATCTTCTTCAAGGAATGAATTAGATAACAGGTAATGACAGGGTTTTTTAACCAAGTCTTTAACTCAATAATTCCAATTGTTTAAATAGAACTTGGATAAGAACATACACTCCATATCACCAAAAGTATGTATGTAACCATCTAATTTTATTTTACTTCAAAATTCAATCCCTGTGACAAGCATCTACCAAGAGAAAACAGTCTATCAAGAAAAAGTAATTATACTCTGAGAGATTTTAATGAGATTAAGAATGAAACTCCCATTTTTTACATCTTCAGTTTGTACTCAAACAGCCCTTCCTTGAATGCCATTGCAAAAAAACGTTCAGCTTTTTGCAATCGCACATGTGCCTTTCTTGATATTTCCAAAGTTCCAAGAACTGACCCATTTGGATTCCCTCAAGGAACTTTTTATTCATATTATATCTCCTTTGTAATCAACACTGAGAAATGTCACTTTGATTAAATACAATTCTGAATGGCTAAGACCACAGTAAAATAAATTCTCCAGAGCTATCTTTCAGAACAACTGATTGCTCTCCAGTCTTAAACCCCTAGAGTCTTATTTAATCAAAATGATGTTGCTAATTAAGGATTAAAACTCAGAACAGAGTAAAAAGGAAGAACTTTTTTTTTAATCTTCTCTCCTATGGGCAGGTCAAGGAGGCAGAATCTGCTCTAAGTAACTAGTTTCATCCACCTTTAGTAAAGCTGCCTTATTCACTGAAGTTTGGATTTAATTCAAAACTCTCTGATATTTACATAATTGGAAAAAAAAAAGAAAAGAATAGTCAGGAAAGACATCCCCAAAGAAGGGGAGATCAGATTCACTAAGATCTTCATTGATTTGTCAGCATTGCATTGTTAATATGCAAATGTATTTAGTTTTTATTTTAATAACTGTGCATTTATAAGGAAAGAAGAGAAAAGGAGGTATTTCAGGGTTTGTTTCACCCTGCCCTGAAGCAGGAACCTGAAGATTCCCACTGCGACTTCTTTGATCCTCACTTTACAGTTTAACCAGAAAGTACAGGAGAATGTATATAGCACTCTGTATGGTGCTATAGAAGTGGTAAATAAAGGAAAATATAATTAAAAAGGTACTTTTTCTTATGCACCGAGAGAAATAGTAAATATGGGGAAAAAAATACAGTTTAAGAACAATTTCAGGAGCAATTTTCCTCAAAGTTTTCTTACAGAAGTATTCAAGTCAAACCAAATTCTTGGAAACTTCCAAAATCTAAATGTTTTGCAGTCAAAACCAAAGCATGAAACCCATCATCTGTAGAATCTGCCTTGGAAGTCAGCAGTGAATTTCAAGGCAATTCTCTATCATCACCAACAGATACTTAGCCAACATTAAGTTACCAACCAGTTGAAAAAAGAAAGAAGTTCCTTCAGTCCACAGTCCTCGAGGTTGTATGCACTTAATGGACAAACTATAGCTCTTATGCCTCCTATACCCAGACTAGCTGTGAGTAGTGCAAAGTAGAACACTATTTTCTGCTCCCTTTTGGTTAGCGTATGAAGAATATGTTGTCTGTCAATGTAAATATCTTCAAAGGGGAATGCCACCACTGGTAATAGTGCTGTGCCTGCAATTGAAAAAAAAAAGAACTCATTTGAAATGGATTAGTGATGTATAAGACATTTTTTTTAAAGCAGTTATGTTGAAGACACAGATAAAAAAAAAACCACAAGAGCAGAGTGTAAAGAAGGAGAGTCTTAACTCTGTAGAGAAACAGAACCTTTCTATATATAATAAGACAAGACCACTAAGGGCCTCCAAGAAAGCAATCTTCCTCTGAAATGCTTGTAAGAATTCAGGTTATTCAGTCAACTGAAGAGCTTACTCTCAAAACATAGCTTCTCTCATTGGCCTTCTCTGCTGCCTGTATAGGGAGGGCAACAGCTCTCCACATGCCAGAGCGTACCTGTTAAAATATGTAACTTCACCTGATGAACTACCAATCAACCACTCCATGGTGGAGTGTAGTTTTGTGCATCTTCTTTAAATCTCAGAGTTATAAAGGGAATCTTAATTTAACAAAAAACATTTTTAAAGCTTTTGGGGAAAATTTTCTTTTTTCCTGCAGCAGCTTCATGGAAAACACATGATTTTGAGAAACTTCACCTATAAAATCACTGCCACAAATTGCATTTTCCACCTCTATTCTGCAAAGCAAGCATTGCAGGTTTAATCAGCTACAGATTCTCTGAGTTATAATTGGGGACTAAACTCAAATTATACTGATGTCAATGACACTAATATTAGCCACGACTAAGAATGCATCAAACCCTAATATGTCAGGAATGTTTAATAAATAAATAAAAAAAAATAGTTAAAACAATATCCAAATCCATCAAACTCTGTTTGTGTCACCAGTCTTCTACTTTAAGATATTAATTGAAAGGAACAGTGGCAGAAGGAAGTTCCAAATCAAGCCCCCAGGAGAAACAGTGGAATATAATAGCAATCATTTTTTGAGGCTGTTTGCACAGTGGGTTTGCAATCAGCTCAAGAACATTTCAGTAATGTCTCTAAGTTTTGCCTTTGTTGCATGTCTAAACAACAACGTGGTTGGCTACTATAGAAATAAGACCTAGGCTCCACAACTAGTCCAAGTAGAAAGTATTTCTGTGAGCTTGGATTAAGTTGATAGAGTAACCACCAGCTGTGAGATGCACTAATTGCTACAGAACAGTCATACTTATTCTGAACAGTGCTTTTATACATAAGATCTCCAGAATACTACATAGGGAAGGTTCAGAATGTGCTAACAGAAAGCAGGCTTTCAATATAGGTACGAGGATGCAGCCTCTCTGCTTAAGGCAAGGTTTGTTTATACTGGCAAGTGCTCAAATACATCTTTCCCTCTTGTCCAAATACCAAAGTCATACAACCTTACATACACTAAAATCTTACTGCCAGCAACTAGGAAAGAGTTTCAAAACTCAAACCATCTCTCTCACTGAAGCCTTGCATTTGCACCAAACACTCGTAACCTCAGATGCTTATTAAAGAGACCAATTTTAAGAGTTGAGCACCTATGTTCCAAATAGCTACGCTGCTTTAGAGGAGTCAGGCTTGTGCGCCAACTATCCACAAGATAAAAATGCAAATGTTCTTTATTCTTATTTAAAGCACTGCCTTGCAAAAGTACATTGGCAAAACCACCACAGCATGTTTTGTAGAGGAGAAAGAACGTAGTTGGCTGTTAGAGAAGGTGACCAGAAGGTTATAGAAAATTACTTTTCAAACACAGCACTCAATAACGCATTTCTGAAACAGAATTACTGAAGCACAGAGTAGTCAACCAGGGTTCTCACCTACCTAGAAAGTGTAGAAACACGCAGATGCACACAAGTTTGATCCTGCCCACCAGGCACTCGGCCAGCCAGCCCACCAGGACTGGCGTCAACATGGAGGTGCCTACGAAGCACATATTGACAATAGCTGCCTGGTAGTTGCGATAGCCAAGCTTGACGGTGCAGAAGAGGATCATGTTGCAAACGATGACAAAGAATGTGAATCTCTCACACAGCTCCACCAGCAGCACACACACAGCTTCTTGGAGTTTCTTCTCGGGCTGAGAGAGTTTTCCAGCATGGTTGTTTCTCCCAGGTAACAGTCTTTGCTCCTTGCCAGCAGCGTGCTTCACAAGTTGCTGCTCTTGCATATCTCTTCTGTCCGCATCAGGCATGCTTGTCTTTTTTTTTTTGAGCACGACTGAATGGAGCAGCTTAAGTTACAGGTATACTTCTGTTCTCCTCCACTGTAATTAGCAAACTGGTAAGAATCTCGCTTTGAATTCCACACTTCGCTACTACAATTTTTTAGGGCACCTGCCACTTTTGTGACATTACATATAGGATCAAAGAGCATACAAAAAAATTTTTAAAAAGATAAATCAAAGAGCTACGTCAACATTTCAGTTTCTGAATTTAGCAACACCCAGGAACTCAATCAGTTTATTTAATTAGTCCATTTGGGAGTGAACAACATTTTTTTTTCCCCCTCAGAATTATATTGCCTATTAATTATGTGAATCCAATACCGTAGGTGCAATTCTCCATAATTTAAAGATAAAGCTTTAAATACACATGAAAGATAACATTTTCAGCAGAATTCAAATAATAGATCAGGAAAATAACTTGGTTAAAATAACGTGATACTTTAATTAGGCAACAAGTGAAGAACTGCAAGCAAAGATAAAGGGAAGGAATTAATTTTAACTTTTTTTTAAGGTTAACAATACCTAATCATTACAACATTTCTTTTTGGTTGAAATTCAGATAAAGTTAGTTATAAAAATACGCAACGCTACTATATTTAAGTTTAAAAAAGGCAGATTTTAAAAGAAAGTAATTTGAATGCATTAGCAAAGAAACAAAACCAATCCAAAAAGAATGTAAACCAGACCAGTTTCTCTAACCAGATATCTCACCATAGCTACAATGCATCATAAGGGGCAGGGGCACAGATGACATGTTCTCTCATATCAACAAAAAGCAATTACAAATTTGAAAGTAAATTAGGAAAAGCCAAACTTATAGTGTTTTATAACACTCCTGCTACCTTATCCACAGAGAAGTTTTCTGATTTCCCAGGTCAGTTTCTCCATTTTGTGGAGCTTGTTAAGATCACTAACACCTGTTCAAAATATTCCCAACTAAGAATGAGAAGCATTCTTCATTTATTTTGCACAAAATCAAATTCGTACACATTACAAGGCAGTGGTAATTCAGATCTTCTTCTCTAAATAGACCTCTCAATGCCTCTGATGGTATTTTTTTTTTTTAGACATGGGCTTTGGTGTTCGTTTCCATCTGTCCATATAACTACTAAAATTTTACTTCCTCAGATCTATTTAGTGTATGAGAAGTCCTACACCCCAAAACAAATGTACAGTAACATATAACTGGTATGAATAAAGACAGATTCCAAGACCACCTCAAAAATAAAAATAAAATTAAAAAAAGCAGCAACTGTGATTTAAACACAAAGTCTGCGAGCACTGAAGCTTAAATATAAGTAGTAATGAAAAAATAATTTTTAAATATTTTTTTTTAATCTGGTGCAAGTCTAAAGCAAGAACTTAGACAGCAAAGAACTTATCATTTTCAGAGATGTCCAGTTGAGGATAAAAACGTCTGTGACTTGTAGCATGCCAAGAACTATTTCTGTCTTCTGATCTATGATAGCTAAAATAATCTTCATTTGGATGATACAGCCAGAGAAATCCAAACTAGAAATCACTTATAACTCACCTTATCCATCAAAGCCTAATGAAGCCAATCTCCAACCAAAAGAGGACAGGCAATAGTATTTTAACTAAAAGATGCACGTATCTTCTGGTGCATGAAATTACTTTTATTTAACTGTTCATGAAGAAAATTCCCCCCCTCCTTTTTGTTTTAAGGAAGTACAACTGTATTTTAGAAACAGATAGCAAATATCAGAATAAATACAGTCCTTCTTCTATAGACATTTTAATGTTAAATAGTCTGTTATTCCTACAAATTCTTTTTATTTAAAGAGTGCAGAGTTTACCTGTTCTCATGGGTGCCAGCAACTCAAAGTGAATCATACCATGGGAATCAGTAGAGACAGCAGGGCTACTAGCTGGGATGGCTGCATCTTAGTCCTCATGTGGTTTCAATTACCCTAATTTTGGGTTACAGGTAAGAAAAAGGAATAATTGGCTGAGCCTTACAAATGCCATAGAAAGGAGAAGGTGAGTCTTTTTCATTGTTGCTTTTGAATTGCCTTTGCATGTGACTAATACAGTTTTGGTGATTATGATAGTCACGGATCACAAGCAGTATGTGGGTTAATGTGCTCAACGCTAAAAGAATATACAACTTCATACAACAATATGATCTTTATTGATTTTTTTTTAAATCACTTCTGCAGCAATTATAGGTGGCCTGTCCAATTACTTGATATGTTTTTAGTTGAATAACCTGGCTTATTCTTAATACACAAGGTAGGACTGCATAATGCCTCTTGTAGTAATGTGTGTAGAGAAGCGACAAGAAACTAGCTGAACCAAATAAGTATTTCAAAATCCAGCCCTAGTAGCAGTACCTCTGTCTGCCAGTAAGGTCTTTATACGTTTTTTAAAACAAATCTTTTTTAAAGGATAGCTCTCAAAATGGGAAAGTCAGATTTTGGAGAGAGGTTAATAAAAGTACTTGCTCTCACATAGCAGTGTCAGCTCACTAGAAGTCTGGCCTATCTTTGGTGGCCTATCACCCAAGGTAGAAGGTTACTTTTACTCATATTGGAAACTATAAATTAGCATTAGGCAAGTGAATTAAGTTGGACAGATTGAAACTGGAATATTCTCTTAATTTTCTCTGAAATGGGACAGTTGCCAGTGTTTTTATTACGGGGGCAGTTTACTGAAATTGGAGAATCAGAACTCCAGTGTCCTGTACAATAGATCCCCTGGCTAAAAGGCAGTAGTGGCTCTAGACCTCCCTTTATGTTCTAAAATGTCAGTTTCTCTAATGCTTTAGTAAGTTCAGCTTTATTCTTACTCTTTTAAAGAACATGTGAGAGGTGTTACCCTTCATCATAGCAGCAGCTGTGGTTCCTGCTAAATATCTGGGGTAGAAACATAATTGATATGGACAAGACTGACAATGCAACACAACAACTTTGACACTGTAAATAAAAAATTACACGGGTCAAATCTTCCTAGTAAGTGCCAGGCTTCGCATTAATTTGAATGGGTTGAGAAATTGGGCTCAATGACCACTGACCTGAGGACTGCAATTTCAAAGTCAGGAGACAGGTCGAGCACAAGCTCTGGGTGGCAGCATTGCCAGACAAGGACAAATATGCCTGGGACTTGCTGCCTGATGGTGTCAAGACGGGTCCAAGCTGGTAGGCTGGGCACTAGCCACAGTAAAGAAACACATCTCAAAGCTGAATGACAGAAAGAGAGAATGCAAGAAACTGCAAAAAGACGACTTTGGGGGAAAGCTTCTGGCACTTGCCAAGAAAGAGAATCAAATCCCTCTCTCAAGAGTCCCAGTGGAAAGCGCAGACAGGACCTCTTCTGCAAAAAGCTTTCTTTTCTCTGCTTGTCCTACAAAAGACTGCTGTAGCCGTTTCTCACCGAGTCCTACTTTTCCCTCATGGTAGTTTGTTTGGTTTTTTTCCTGTCTCTTATTGAAGCAGGGAGTGTGGCTAAAGCACCGAACTGTCAGGAAGCAAAACTTCCATACCTTTTTCCACAGTACCCAAGCAAGTGCAAGTACAAGAAAGTACAATACACGGGCACATTGGAACAAGTCCAGCAAGTCCATGAGGATGATGAGGGGACTGAAGCATCTGGCATATGAGCAGAGGCTGAGAAAGCTGAGACTATTCAGTCTGGAGAAAAGAAAGCCGAGGGGTACTTTATCAATACATATAAATACCTGAAGGGAGGGTGAAAAGAAGATGTAGCCAGGCTCTTTTCAGCAGTGCCCAGCTACAAGACAAGAGGCAATGAACACAAACTGAAGCATGGGGAACTCAATCTAAACATAAATGAAAACTTCTGGGGTTGTCAAGCACTGGAAGGGGCTGGCCAAAAAGGCTGTGAAGACTTCACCTTTCAAGATATTCAAGACCTGACTGGATACTGTGCTGAGCAACCTCCTGTGGGTGACTCTGCTTTCGTTAGGTGGGGTGGACCAGGCAGTTGCCAGAGGTGCCTTCCAATCTCAACCGTTCTCTGATTCTGAGCAGCAACAGTAAACACTTTACCAAAGCAGAATCTAAACAAGAAGATAATAGAGGAAAAGTTTCTTGCCCAGTTGCTGGGTATGCCCTCTATGAGTGAGCAAGGTTTGCTTATTTACTTTTATACATTTTTTTTTAAGGGAAGCAGTTTTAAAATTGCTGAGCCTCAAACCTTTGCTATCGATGAGAATTATTTTAGCATGATTGCCTTGTTCCTTCAAACTGTACATTTTATTCTGGGGTTTTGGTTCAAACACATATAATTATCTATGCTAAGCAGTTTTTCATATGTTCTAAGGCTTTTGTCTTATTGCACCTAGCTGACGGTTTTATAATTCAGGAGTAATTGAATTGCAATTATTTTTCATGATGCATGGTATGGTTTTATATCATGTTGTTGGCAGATATTCTTTATGGTGTCGTTTGGTTTAATGGGAAAATTAGAAGTAGCTCGATCATATAGAAAGATGGCTTTTTTGTGTCATGTTGTAGTTTGTAGATGGCACTCAGGATATTTTCTTTTGACATATAGATTTTTAGGTGGAGACTGAAATGAGAATTATAAAGCAAGGTTCACAGTTGAGACAATATTATCTGTACATCCGAGATGATTTCAACTGTTCTCCTGTGGTGAGAGTTCATTTATATTCAAGTCCATTTAGCAGACTGTGGTTGGTATTCGAAAACACATATATAAGTACTATGTGATGGTGGAATTTCTCCTCTAAATTCATCCCTGACCCAACGCAACTGGTTTCAGAGAAGCTAGGAAAAGATATCAGCATCTTTTTTAGAAGGAAATACTCATCAGAACAGAGTATTGACAGTAGATCTCCCACCTCACTGAAGAGGTTTCCAACCACTGCAGTACCCAAATAGTCCTTAATATCTCCTGCTGGAGCTGTAACACGTTGTGTAAAGCTTTATGAGCTGTAGGGAAGCTGATTTTGTAACCCAGAGATT